TCGAGTCACTCTTTTACTCACTAGTGTATATCACTTATATGGTTTGAGCAGTCACTCTACTCTCTGGCAAGTATCATGAAACCTTTTCACTCTAGTAAAATAAGAGCATACCTTAGTACCTATCATATGAGTGCATGTCAATCGAAATGGTCACCGTGTGCATAAAAGTCTCTCAGAAAATTGAGTTCCTCACTTCTCCGTCACAAGAAGATCTTGTGTCGCCATCTTAGTATAACTTTCGTGTCCACTTGGGACATCCCGCAGTAAGTAGCTCACCTTGTTCTTAGTATTGTGGTTGCTCGTGACGTTGTCTTGTATTGCAGTTGGGAGTTAATATAGCAGAAGCATGTCCAGCACATAACAAACGTTTATTTTCTCTTTACACCTCCACAACATGTGTTAATTGTGTTCCTTAGTTAGTGAATTCATTGTGCTAGTTTCCTAACACTTGTTCGATAACCATTAGAGAACATATCCTTCTATGTGTCATTGTAACGTTTCCTTTCTCATAAGGACCCTTAATAGTCTCTCCGTTAAGACCTAATGCACCTGTGGGGGTTATCATGGCACAACGCCTACTTCTCATGTTTTCCTGTCTTTCATCAGAATCCGGGTACTTCTCAAGTCAAAAAATCCTTGGAGAACTCATCATGAACATCTACCTTGAGCTGGCTAAGCAGGTGGAGTGGTAGCTGCTGCTGTAATCATAGCCTGGGACCCGGTGGAGCACGCGGTGCCTGAGTAGCCTATGTAGGTACACCCATCCTAAGGCTGGGGCAATCCCTCACCATATGGCGAGTGTCGACACACTCAAAACAAGCTCTCGGAGAGCGTGGCTGTTATGGCTGTCTCGGGCTAGATCGGCTGGACTGACCGCTGAAAGCACCCCGTGCAGGAGGTACACTAGACAACGACGGTGCATAATAAGGATCCTGGGGCCTAGGAGGGGCCAGAATACCGCTGGCAGATAGAAGTGCTAATGAACAGCGCGACTCACATAGCCCTTACCATGACGAGCTGCCACTGGGGCACGAGTACCACTATAAGTGCCAGATTCTCGAGACCTCTTGGTCTCTCTCTCCTCTCTCCCCCAAGTCAGCATACCCTCTAACCTCCTAGCAATCCCCACAACCTGTTGGTATGCAATATCCATCTCCAACTCTTGGGCCATGCTAAGTCTCATACTGGGGTTTAGCCCCTCGATAAATCGACGGACCCTCTCTCGAACTGTAGCAACCAAGGCTGGTTCATGCCTAGAAAAATCACTGAAGTAAGCCGCATACTCTGACACAGTCATAGAACCCTGGCGAAACTGCTCAAACTCCGCGCGCCATGCATCTCTAAGACTTTGGGGAACATACTCCCTCAATAACATATCCTAGAACTTAGTCCATGTGAGTGAAGCTGCCTCGGCCGGACTACCCAACTCATAAGCACGCCATCACTGACAGGCCGCTCCTCTAAGTTGGAACGTAGTGAAAGAAACCCCACTCCACTCCGCTACACCCATAGTACGGAGTATACGATGACACTCCTCAAGAAAACCTTGGGCATCCTCTTACTCCAAGCCACTGAAAGAAGGAGGGTGTTACTTCTTGAACCTCACAAGTCTTAGCTGTTCTTCTTCATATGCTGGTGCCCTAACCACGGGCTGAACTAGAACATTAAGGTGTGTCGCCTTGACACCTGGAACTTGACCAACGTGGACTCACTACTCTAGAGTACGGGCGGTGGGAGTCTGAGTTCCTCCCCCGGTCTGTGAAGTATCTGGTGCAATTGGAATTACCAAACATGCTCAGGAACTGTGCTAAACACTCCTGAAGTTCGGGGGTAGCAGCAGGCGCCTTCGATACCAGTCCCCCAATCGGAGCTACTGGCGGCTTCTCAATTGTTGCTCTACTAGGTGCCCTAGCTCCGACACATGCTCCTCTTTGTCCTCTGCCATTTCCTCTTCCCCTAGCGCACCTGCTCCGGGGGAAGCATCTTCAGTAACTATAGCTCGTGTCCTCACCATCTGTGAGAGAATAGAATGATAAAAGCTCAAACTCCGGGATCAATAAACTTAAATGATAGGAATAAAATAAGTGAAAATGTCCTAATAGTTCCATAGCCTCTCGAAGATAAGTACAGACGTCTCCGTACCGATCCGCAAGACTTTACTAAACCTGCTTGTGACTCATAACACCTATGAACCTAGAGCTCTGATATCAACTTTTCATGACCAAAATCTCCCTCCACAAGATGTCGTGACGGCACCTAGTCTCTATGACTAGGTATGCCTAACAGTTGTGGAATAACTGAATATAACAGAATTAAAAACTAAACCTTAACAACATCAGTATATACATCTCCTAGTAAAACCAACAATGAAACTGTCGCTCGGCATATACCAGTAAAACTAACAAATCTGAGTATAAACATCTCCCAAAGACCTGGTAGTCACAAGTCACAAGCTCTAAGGAAATGTCCTAACGGTCTCTATACATCAGTGTCTAGGAAAAATGAAGAAGAATAACATAACAGGATAGAGGAGGACTCCGAGGTCTGCGGATGCTAGCAGATATACCTTGAAGTCTCCGAAGCAGCAGCAAGTACTCTCAACTAATAGCAGGGCTGGTAAGAGGTACCTGGGTCTACACACAAAACACGTGCAGAAGAGTAGCATGAGTACACCACAATGGTACCCACTAAGTGCCAAGCCTAACCTTGGTAGAGTAGTGACGAGGTCAGGTCAGGGCCCTACTAGGATATAATAATAAGGCAGAAGATATAACTATATAATGAAAGAATGAGAATTTAACAACGAGAAATACAAGAAGATAACAACACATCACACAAGGATAAATAATAAGGGCGCTCCCGAGGTACCGCCTTGTAGTCCCAAAAGTAAATACTCAATAGGGGATCTCCCAAGGTACCGTCTTGTAGTCCCAAAAGTAAATATGCAAGGGGATCTCCCGAGGTACCGCCTTGTAGTCCCAAAAGTAAATATTCAAGGAGATCTCCCGAGTACCGCCTCGTAGTCCCAAAAGTAAATATTCAAGGAGATCTCCCGAGTACCGCCTCGTAGTCCCAAAAGTAAATATATAACTCGAAATCGATGGAAAGAACAGTTAACAGCGAGAAATCCTACAGTTTAAGAATACACACAAATCAAGGGAAAACAAGGAATTCAACTACGCATTCTGCACAGATTTCAAATAAGCATTTAAGACACGTAGACATATGATATTAAGCTAAACAGGATAACTACACATGCTGGGCTGACTCATTTAAGATATAACAGGTTATTGTTCATCAAAAATCAGATTTTCAACAATTAGCCCGTGTACGTACTCGTAACCTCGAATACACGGAACTCACATATCACAGAATTGTCACAACAGTACCAAATCCAAAGGGGATTTCCCCCCACACAAGGTTAGGCAAGTCACTTACCTCAAGCCAAGCTCAATCAGTCAATAAGAATGCCTTTTCCTCGACTTTCCAACTCCAAATGGCCCAAACCTAGCAAAAAGCAATTACCTACCATAAATATAGCAATAAGAAACTAATCTAATTAATGAAATCAGGACTTTAGCAAGAACTTAGAAATTCGTCCAAAAAAGTAGACTCGGGCCCACATTTTGGAATCGGGTAAAAGTTACAAATATGAACACCCATTCAACCACGAGTTCACCCATACCAAAATTACTCAAATCCGATACCAAAATCTCAATCAAAATCCCAATATTCAATTGAAGAACTTTCCAACTTTTTCCCAAATTTCTCAACCAAAAACCTTAATGAAATGATGAAATTAACGATAGACTAGTGGAATATAACCAAAAATGAATGAAGAATCATTACCCAATCGTTTCCTTTGAAAAACCCTTGAATTTTTGCCTCAATCCAAGCTCTCAAAGTCCCAAAATGAAAATGGGATCAGACCCTCAAAATTTCCCATTTTCTGCCCAGCGATCTCGCTCCTGCGGACTATCAATCGCATCTGCGACGCTGCTCGTGCGAAAAAACCATCGCAGATGCAGATTCTACTTATGGCCAGGGTTTCCGCTTCTATAGACCGGGGATCGCACCTACCAGCCTGCTTCTTGGGAGACCCTTCCGCTTCTGCGATCCTCAAGCCTCCCAGGCCTCTCCGCTTCAGAGTTTATCCTCCCGCAGAGGCGACTCCGCTTCTGCGGCCTTCACGTTGCACATGTGACCACAGGCCAAGCTCCACCCGACCGCACCTACGATCCTCCTCTCGCACGTGCAAGTCCACACTTGCGGCCAACCCCACTGTAGGTGCGATGACACCAGAAGCTATAATGCTTCAGCAACTCTCACAAGTCCAATTCTAGTCCGTTAACCACCCGAATTCCACCTGAGGCCCCCGGAACCTCAACCAAGTGTTCCAACAAGTCCTAAAACATCATACAAACTTATTCGAGACTTCAAATCATATCAAACAACGCTAAAAACATGAATCACACCCCAATTCAAGCTTAATGAACTTTGAAACTTCAGACTTCTACAACTAATGCCGAAACCTATCAAATCACGTCCGATTGACCCCAAATTTTGCATACAAGTCACATTTTGATATTACGGACCTACTCTAACTTCCAAAATTGGAATCCAACCCCGATATCAGAAAGTCCACTCCCGATATGCCCCTGCAAGTTAGTGATGTTAACAACACCCAAATAGGAATGTTGCTTGACAAACGAGGCTCTTGGAAGTGGTTTCGTAAGTATATCTGCCACTTGATCAGCCGAGTGAAGGTGTTGTACTTCGATTTCCTTCTTTTGAACTTGTTCACGAACAAAGTGAAAGTCAATAGCAATATGCTTCATACGACTATGGAACGCCGGGTTGGAGCAAATGTAGGTGGTACTGACATTGTCTCAAAAGATCTAAGGAGTGGCTGATATACGGAAGCGAAGATTATGGAGTAAACTTTTAAGCCAATTGGTCTCAGAAACAATAGCTGCAACAACACGATATTCTGCTTCTGTCTAGGAATGGGAAACAGATCTTTGCTTCTTAGAGGACCATGATATCGGAGATCTGCCAAGGTAAACAACATAACCTGTAGTGGAGGTTTGATCAAGAGGATCTCCAGCCCAGTCAGAATACGAGTAGGCTAGAAGACGATGATCACGTTCTTTAGCAATTCGAAGACCAAACGAAGATGTCTGGTGAAGATACCGAAGGAGACGCTTCATGGCTGTCCAATGAGATATTAATGGTTGGTGCTTGGACTGTGAGAGTTTGCTAATAGAAAATGCAATGTCCAAACATGTAAAGGAAAGATAATGAAGTTTACCAATTATCCGCCTATAAAGAGAGCCATCTACTAGAGAATCTTCAGCAGATTCTAGGAAAACAGCAGTAGAATCCATTGGCGTTGGAACACCCTTGAAATTGTGTATATTAACTTCCTGTAACAGATTTGTAATGTATTTTTCTTGAGACTACAAAAGGCCACCTGGATAAGAAAAGACTTCAACACCAAGGAAATAATGAAGTGGACCAAGATCCTTTAGTGAGAATCAGGTTGCAAGATTTTCAGCAATGTTTTGAACACCACGAATTTGATTGCCTGTAACCATTATGTCATCAACATAAACTAGTATATAAGCAGTAAACTCAGAATTATGCATGATGAACAATGATGAATCGGATTGGGACTTAATAAATCCCGAAGTAACAAGATAATTTTTGAGTTTAGTGTACCAGGCCCTTGGAGCTTTTTTGAGGCCATATAGCATTGTGCAGCTTGCAAACATGTGTAGGATGTGTAGAAGCTTCAAAACCAGGTGGTTGATGCATATAGACCTCCTCGTCAAGACGACCTTGTAGGAAGGCATTATTGATATCAAGTTGATGGATAGGCCAACTTTGTTGTGTTGCAATTGCAAGAACGAGTCGAACAATTGCGGGCTTTACCACAACACTAAAAGTACATTGAAACTCAAGGCCAGGTCGTTGTGTGAACCCTTAGGAAACTAAGCGAGCTTTGTACTTGTCAACAGAACCATCAGGATGATATTTAACTTGAAAAAGCCACTTACAATCCACCACGTTTTTCGAAGGATCACATGGTACCAGATCCCATGTCCGTGTTCCGGACTAAGGCTTCAAATTCATTTTTTATAGCTTCATGCTAGTGTGGGACTTATTGAGCTTGCCTAAAGGTTCTAGGTATGGAGGAAGTGGTTTGAACAATAGTGTGAAATTATTTAGGCTTAAGGTTGTTGGTCTTAGACCGAGTAATCATATGATGAGTGGATGTCACTGTAGAGTCAGAGGCAACAAGGGAAGGTTGTGAGGTGATGGAAGGTGGTACAAGTGACGAGGAAGAAGGTTGTATCATAGGGTTCTGGGTCAAAGGTCTGGTGGACTTATTTCGGCGTTGGTAAGTAATTATTGTGGATTGAGGCTGAGAGTTTAAAAGGGGAGAAAGGTGAACTGATGAGGCAGAACGGTTTGGTTAGTAATCATGGCTGGCAATTGAGTTTGGTATGGCAAGAGGAGGGGGCAGCAGAGATGTTGGAGAAGGAGAGCAAGTGTCATATAAGCGAGAAATTGAATTACCTGAGATGGTGGCACCTGTTGGAGCAGAGGAGACGAGTGAATAAGTCCCCACGGGCTATTGCACATTCTGAGTAGGAAGCTCATAACAGACATTTGAACTCAAAGTATTTAATTTGTGGTTGTTCAGTTGAATCTCCAAGATACATTTTATCGAGTGTAATTTTCAAAAGGGAAAAAATATTTTCAAATGGGAACCGAATTTCCAGAAATAAGACATCACGTGATAATAAATTTTGAAAGTTAAAGGATCAAAACATTGATGGCAGTAATATTTATTTAAAAATCCGAAATAAAAACATAGTATCGAACGGGGCTCTAATTTATTTTTGGCTTTTGGTTTGAGCCATAGATAGCACAAGCATCCAAATATTTTAATGGAGTCATATTTTGGCATAGTTTGAAATAAAATTTCAAAGGGGCTCTTATGCTAATGATTGGGTGTAGTGAGCCTGCTTATAAGATAAACAACTCATTGATAAGCAAAACTCCAAAAGTGTGAGGGTAAAGATGCTTGGTGCAGCACGGTTCTAGCAGTTTCAATAACATGTCAGTGTCGTCTTTCGTAGAGCAACTCTTTACGGAGTATATGAGGATGACACTAAGCGTTCTATGCCATGTGTTTTGAGATAGGACTGTAAACTTTGAAATATACCACCACCATCAGTGTAAAGAGATTGAATTTTGGTGAATTTGGGTTCAAGTAATGGATGCAAAGTTTGAAAAACCTCAAGCGTTTCATTTTTTGATTTCGGAGTGAACAACCACATGTATTTTGAAAATTGGCCGACAAATAACACATAATATCTTCTTTTATCAATTGATAAAATCGGAGACGGACCCCATACATCGCTATAAAGGATTTGCAATGGCTTATTACATTGCAATGAATTTTATGAAAAAGTCAACGCGTGCATTTTATTTGAATATTACAAATAAAACTAGCTTTAGGATCAAAAACAGGAAGGGAGATATTATTCAAGATAGTATTTAAAACGCGACAACTAGGATGACCTAAACATCAATGCCACAGATGAATTGGTACAGTCACATTGCATTCAGGAGGACGATGTGCACAACCCGGTGGCCACGCGTACAACCCATCTTTATTCTGCCCGCAAACTAGAGATGCCCCCGTACTCAGATCCTTCATAAGATAATGAAAAGGAAAGAATTTAATCTATGAATGATTATCACGACAAAACTTAGAAACAGAAATAAGGTTACCTTTTATGGCAGGAGAGTATAAGGTATTGAGAAGTTTGAAATTATGATTTGAAGCACTTATGTTAGCGTTACCGATATGGGATATTGGTATGGTGTTACCATTGCCCATAGTTATCTCTTTTGTGCTGTGGTAATCATGTACAGTGGTTAGGCTATGAGCATCAGATAAATATGATGAGTGGCTCCACTTTCCACGATCCATGGAGTCTGTTGAGAAGAAAAACGAGCAACAAAATTTTCCCGAGCTTACAGATGATCATGTGACTGCAATCTACATACTCTAGTAGAATGACCTACACGATCGCATAGTTGACATCGAAGGTTTTTGTCAAAGGGCTGCTACTGGTTGTTTCTTCATGGGCCACATGGTTGTGCTTGCCATTGCTGATTGTTGGTAGGTGCATTCGGACCTAGACGGCAATTTCTGGAGCTAGGACTATTACCCTGACGAGGAGGAGTTGATGTAGTCTTTTGTGCTACAACAGCGGTAATAGGTGTTGACAACGGCTTCTTGTCTTCCTCGTGCTATAGGAAAAGCTAATGATTCAGAAGCTTTTCATGAAGATCTTCATAGGAAATTGGAGAATCCCGAGAAAGAATGGCAGCAGAGAGTTCGGGAAATTCAAATTCCTAATTAGGAGGAGTGATTTACAACAAATTCCTAAATATCAGTAACTACAAAATAAAATTCTACAGTAGTAAGGAATCCTAGAATAAACAGTAATCAGTCGTTATTAGTAATCAGCCATTATTACTGTAAACAATTATATACACTTGACAGTTTAAAAACTTTTTGTATTGTTAGTATACATAATTTTCTTTATTATCAATGTATTTAACCTAGGATAAGTTTCACCTTATCCAAATATTAGCGGAATGGTGGGACATTATGTAACGACCCGACCGGTCATTTTGAGCATTTGTATTTCGTTCAGCTATTTGAAGTTTTGAGCAGCATCATATGATGTATTATGAATTGTGTGAATCGTCGGTTTTGGTTTTTCAGGTTATTCAGAATCAGTTTGGAAGAATTAATTTCATTGTTGAAGCTTTAAGTTGGAAGAGTTGACCAAGTTTGGCTTTTGTGAATTTGACCCCGGAACACAGTTTTGAAGGTTCCGTTAGGTCCGGATGATGATTTTGGACTCGGGAGTATGTCCGGATTTGCATTTGGATGTTCCTAGAAGTATTCGGCACTAATTGGCAAAAGTTGAAAATTTGAAGGTTTGAAAAGTTCATAAGTTTGACCGGAAATTGACTTTGATGATATCGGGTTCGAATTGTGGTTCGGAAAATTGGAATAGCTTCATTATGTCATTTGAGACTCATGTGCAAAATTTGGGCTCATTCTAGGTGAATTTGATTTGTTTCGGCGCGAATTTTGATAGTTGAAAGTTCAAAAGTTCATTAAGTTTGAGTTGAGGTGCGACTCGTCGTTCCGATGTTGTTATGTGTGATTTGAGGCCTCGAGTAAGTCCGTATAATGTTATGGGACTTGTTGGTATGTTTGAACGGGGTCCCTAGGGGCTCAGGTGAGTTTCGAATAGGTGTGGGTTGTGTTGCACTTGTTTTTGATGTTTCGACGTCGTTTCTTCAAGCATAAATGGTACCACATTAAGCAAATAAGCTCCAATTTCTATTTTAATTGAAGCATTAGATCCGTATCGTAATTTTGGAACCATAACAACTGCAATCATCAAGTTTTGGCATCGTATGAGGCATTTATGGTCATTTTACTAAGAATTGGGTTGCCAGATTTTTTTTAGAATAATTACGAAATTGCCACTGAATTCTTATTTAAAAATCTGCACTATTTTCAAATATTGAAACCAACATATCTCCTTCATTATAAGGTCAAATTAAGTGATTCAAAAGCCTAACTCAACTGGAATTTCATAAGGAATCCATTAGAGGATTCAAAAGTGAGTTTTGGGATCGTATGGCACACGAAAAGACGCAGAACAGCTAGGCAAAAATATTAAATATCGAGGGTTTGTTCATTTGATCATATTTTGAGTTGGGGAGCTCGGATTTGGGCAATTTTTGAAGCGATTTTCAACATATGGATTGGATTAGTTGTTCTCTACTCTGTTTTGGTTATATTTCGTGAATCTATCTTTGTTTTTGTTAATTGGATAATGAATTTTAAAGAGAAAATTAGGGGGTTTTGTCTAAAATTTCATTAAGTGATTTTTTGTGTTTTGAACATCCATTTGGAGTCGGATTTGAGTGAAACTAGTATGGTTGGACTCGTAATTGAACGGGTTGTCGGATTTTGTAAGTTTCATCGGGTTTCGAGGTGCGGGCATGGGTTTGACATTTTGGTGGATTTTGGGCTTTTGATTAATGATTCGACCTTTATCGATTTGGTTTGTTTCTTTTGGCGTTATTTGATGTATTTGAGTTGCTTTTGGCTAGTTTTGAGCCGTTCGGAGGTCGGTACGCATGGCATTTCTGGAGAATTATCTGGGTTACTCGGTATTGGATTTGACTTGTTCGAGGTAAGTAACATTTCTAGACATGGTGCTGAGGGTATGAAATGCCGAATTAAGTGTTATGCGATTGATGTTGAGGTGACGTGCATGCTAGGTGACGGGCGCGTGGGCATGCACCGTGTAAATTATGATTTAGTATTTCATGGAACTGTGTAGATATTTTATCTCAACATTTTTACCGTACTCTATGTGTTAGAGCACTTGAGCTGTAATTCATGCTAGAATTCATATTTAGGATATATACTAGAACTATTTGGACTCACAGTGGTCGTTCATAGCTGTTGAGTTATTTGCTTAATTACAGTTATGTACTAAGTCGCATTCATCATTAAACATCATATCTCAGTCTCTGTTATTGTGTATTGTCACGTCTCGTATCATTAATTAGGGTTGCTTAGTATGAGTATTGTGAGCCTGAGGGACTGGAGAGATTGATGACTCAGTGAGGCTGATGGCCTGATTGTGAGTGATATTTATGGGATCGGATTTCACGCCGCAACATGTTTTATTTATTTATGCCTAGATCTGGCTTATTATAGCGCTTGAACTGAAGGAGCCCTTCCGGAGTCAGCACACTCGTAGTGTGCGCAATTGATTTATATTGAGGGATGTATCTTCCCTGGGCATGGATCTTGCCCGAATCATTTATATTTGGGGATGGATTTTTCCTGGTCTGGATTGGCCTTATATAGTACTGAGTGACTGACTGTCAGTTGATATATATATATATATATATATATATATATATATATATAGATCTTCCCTAGGTTGAATTGACCATATACGGTACTGAGCATGAGGT